ACTGATGTGAAGACAAGTTTAGCTTGGGGGGTGAGGGGAGTCTGCAGAGTGGGTGAGAAGGTCCTGAATAATGTGATCAGACTTTCCTAGCAGAAGAGATGCTCCTATTTCTTCCCCTGCCATCCCAGAATGCGTCATTAACACTTGTGTTGCACTGTGTCAAGTTCAGGCCTTAGGTAATTTCCCAACTGTACAAAATTAAGAAGCAGAATTACCCGAATTTAAACAAGCCCCTGCTTGGCTCCAAAGCTTTTTTCCAATAGTACAAACTTCTGTAGTGAGCTCAGGAAAGAAATCATTCATGCAGACTCTGGCCTACCTTCGTCAGAACCATGTCGTGTTGTTTTTTTTTTGTTTTGGATCGTTTGTTTATTTATTTACTTGTTTCCTTTCTTCCAACTCCTGCTGATGCAGGTGTGAGTTACTGGAAGAGTAGAAACTAGGAAGGCACCTAGGGACTAGTCAACAATGATTTTGACTCTGTAAACCTTTCTCATATTTTGAGTATCTTGAACAAGTCTGTGAGGAAAGTGAATTTTAAATTAATTTTCTCCTGGCAGGTTGTGTCTGTGATAAATTGGAGAACTCCAAAAACCATCCTCACAGCCAGGTGTTTAATAGCTCAGTACTTCAGAGCGCCACTGGGGTCACTCAGAGTTCTTCTATTTCTTTTCTTTTTGCTGCTTCTTGTTTTGGTTCCTTTCCATCAAGAATAACATGGAGTCTTAACAAGACTTGGAAGCAATTTTGATATCAAAAACTAAGAGACAGTTCTACTTTTAATAAGTCCTAGTACAGGGGTATCAGCAGTGCCCCCAGTGCTACAGCTGGAAATGACAGATTTATTACTCTTTCCTTTGAAAGTGATAAATTGGTTCAGGTGAATGGCAGACATTTTAGCTTCCACAAGGGGGAAAAAAGTAAGAAAAAAAAAGAAACTGACTATCACTGAAGTTATTTAAATCTCTATAGAAAATTCTAATAGACAGGACAGTTTAAGCGGCTATTGTCCAAATGTCAGGTTCTAGATATTTGCCAAATAAAAAGAGATAGATGCTGGGTTCTTTTATTTTCATTGGGGTACTATCTCTTTTCTAAGATACATCTTTATGGGTGGGGAGAAAGAGAGAGAGAGAGAGAGAGAGAGAGAGAGAGAGAGAGAGAGAGACTATATGAGGGTATTTGACTATGCCTGTTCAATATTCTCAGTAACTTGACAAACAATATCAATGCATATTAAAATATAATAGACCTTGATATCTAAGTCACACTGATG